TTTTTGAGATTTTGCTGGCTGGGCTGTTCTCGTAACAGGCGCAGCAGCTTCGCGCATGTGTATATGTTACTTATTCTTTGGAACTTCACAATCACACTGCGAAAGAGCGAATTAACACGATTTTAGAAGCAGTCGAGGACGAACTTATAAAAAGTTTGAAAACTTGTTTTTTAGTTTTCAACAGGATTTGCAATGCAAATCGAAGAAGAACTTTTCATGAGCGAAGTAATATTTCTCAGTCCCGTAGAATTTGTTTTGATAACATTTGATTTTGAAATTTCAGCAAAAGTCATTATAAACAATTTATGAGAATGAAAATAAAAAGCGTGGGGCGTATGTAATAGACCTGAATTAGAGTAATATATGTATGTATGTGTATGTAGAAATTTTAGGTCTATTTTATGTAGTTTGACTATTGTAAATTAAATCTAAATCTAAATCTTTCTATTGCATGCGCTCCACGTTTTTCGTTTTCAATCTCATAAATTGTTTGTAATAACTTTTGCAAAATTTTCAAAATCAAAAGTTATGAAAACAAATTCTATTGGACTGAGAAATATTATTTTCTAATTTGTAGTCCATTTATAAAAGCGTGGTATATTAAAAAATTTATTTTATTTTATTTAAATATTTCTATTATTGTGAGTATCAACTCTGAGTAAATTAACGTGCCTAAATTTCGCAACATCAAAGTTTTCGTATTTTTGAAATTTACCGTTATATGATAAGTGAGCGTAGTTCTAGACCGATTTCAAATATTTTCAACATACATATTACTTTTTGTGCACAGTACAATCGTTATACCGGGTTTGGCAAAAAGTGATAAAACGGTTACCTATCGCACATCGTCTTCAAAAGAGTCACAACTCAAAATTTGATATTTTTGAAACTATGCGCTAAAAATGTACAAGAGCTTTTATTTACATTTCAGCAAAAGGTGGAGGAAATTTTTGTTATAATTTGTTTAAAAACCTAAGGTAAAGTCATCCTTGCCCAGATGATTAGCATGCAGTGATCGGACTTTCTTGAGCATTTACCACATCTACCAGACAAGGTCTGAAATCCACCCCATATTCGCGTTTTTGATTAGTGTTATTTTTTCTCGACATAATTTTTTAAATTTTAAGTGCAAAAATCGCCCTACACTAAACACTAACAACAAAGCCGAATGAGAGGTTGAAATAAACTGTAAAATAGTAAATTTGTTCAATAATCAATTTTGCGACAGGAACCGTGATTTTATTATGTTAAATTGCCAAATATAAGATTTATAAAAAGAATTAATAGCGAAAATGTTAAAAAACGGCGATTTTTGTGAAAGTGTTAGTGAATTTCAGTTCATCTAAAGTTTCTAAGGCGTTGTTTACTTTTACTTGAGATTTGCCGATTTTGCGGCTGGAACGTGCCACATTTGTTCGCAACATCGGGATGTAATAAAGAGAAAAGCTGGCAGTGGCAGCACTCCGCAAGGTTGCAGAAATCTCTCAAAATGGCTGCATTTCTTTATTCATTCCGAATGTTTGGAATAAACTTTTTTGTTTATTTATTCTTTAGAACGTTCCTGATGATATGTTGACGTATATTTCAAACGCATTCTGTTTATTCCGGCTGTGAAATGGGATTATCCGGAATGTATAAAGAAACGCAGCCAATATGTTCGAAAAGTATCTTGATATGGAAGGCACACTGTCAAGGAAAAAATTTGCCAGAACTCAACGCAATTTTTAGCAACTTCAAATCTTGAACTTTATTATACTAAAATAATGTTTTTTTTAGATTCTAATTCAAATGTTTGCAATTTAGGTGAAATCTTGCCAATTTTTTTTTTTTTTTAATTTTTGTACAAAGCCTGATCCAAAACTTAAGATCTGCCATATTTTTTTGGAATCTGTCTCATTTTTTTCACATTCTATCACACAAATTATTTCAAGTCCGATCACTGTTAGCATATGCTACGAAATAGTTTTTCGCATTTTCTGAAGAACGTATTATTTTGAGTTGTGACTCTTTTGAAGACGGTGTGCGATATGCAAAATATAATCGTATTTCTTGCCAAGGAATTACTCCTAACATAAATTTTGAGTAAACTACCCTGAGTAGTTACTGATTTATCGCAGATTTAGTATATGGACGGGTTTCTTAGTGCGGCTCTAAGCAATATTAATATTGAGTTTGGTGGGGTTTGGTAAAGCGGCTACTGATGTACAGCACTTCATTAAAAGTGGGCGGTGTGAAGCACATTTTCCAAAAATTTCATAAATGTCTTATTTTATGTCAAAATCCTATTTCACATTCCAACTTTTAACAATTTGGATCCAATATTTTCCGGAAATGTCGTGGTTTTTGCATTTTTCGAAAATACCGTTATATGGAAGGTGAGCGTGGTTACCGTCCGATTTCGTCCATTTTCAATACCAGGCTACCTTGGATAAAGAGCAGATTATATTCGTTGATATTTTTCATATTTTACTCGAGTAATCATAACGGACGGATATGCAGACATGGTTTAATCGAATTTTTTTTCATTCTGAGCATTTTGGTATACATATGGGCATATCCTGGGTTACAGACGCTAGACTAAATTCAAATTTCACTAAAAAACCCAACATTGGAGTTTTCCAGCTTTTCGTTGCTTTAACTTTAAACCGACTCTAAGCGTAAAAGCCGGCTCTAACTCAACTATGGCTGAGGTAAAGTGTACTTTAAATTACGGTATTCTTTCACTTATTTAGAACCGACTTTAATTTAACTATCGCTTAGCTAAACTTGCCGGCGAGTTGTTGCTAGGAATGTCAGTGAAATGTACATCGATATTTTTTCGATATATCGAAGGGCATTAAAGGGTTAAAGGGGAAGGGATTAAAGTCACTTATGTTTTTTCCACAATCGAAGAAATTAAAAGGCGGTTCAATGTACCAGAGATGTCAGTTTTCAAAAATCATCGATGCATCGATACTTCGACTATTTATACATCGAGTGGAAAATGTTCGATGCATCTAAACACAACATAGATTTTTTTATGCATCGATGTTTTTCCCACATACATACATACCTAGTCGTCCCACGTGCGTTGATCTGTTGTGTTGCTCTGTTCTCACGATCAATGCATTTGAGCAATATGATGCCCAAAAGTAGCCCACATATCGTTAGCAGAATACGAGCTGCGCGTGGGAATTTTGTTGACATTAACTTATATATTTATTTATATTACAGTTAATTTAATATTTTATCTCAAAGAACCAGCGATTAAAAGCTTCCTCTCTCGTATTTGTTTTATTATGGCAATCAATCACAAATATAACAAAAGGTAAATTACTTAGGGCGGTGTTATACGACTCCGTTTACGACGCTGCAGTAAAAGCGATCCGGTTTTCTGGGATGACAACCAATTATGAGACAAAAATGTTTTTACCGCTGTCTGTCTATGCGGTTCAATTGTAACGGTAGTGGTAATTCTGAAATTGTCTCCGAAATCTTACTGTCGATTCACGTTGGGGAAAATAATGAACGAATCCGGCGATGACGATTCACTGACTCCACCTTAAAGAGCGAATAGCTAAAAATATCTTTCTAAAATTTTTTCTTGACGCTTTCACGGAATGCGGTACACTAACAAAGGGGCACGCTTTCACAGCAGCGATATAATCGCATAGCGTATCAATGGCCTTATTCAAACGTACATATACAGTTACGTGCAAATAATTAACATCGACGCCGAGCCAAACACAGACGGCTCGTGTTTTAAATTAGTTGTCAGAGGATTTGTGTTGAACTTTATACTATACATAGTATGTATGTATGTATGTAAGTATTTATTGGTAACGTTATCGGTCATTATGCTGCAAGACAATCTATGCTCGTGGCCAGTCAACAGAAAAGTTATATTCATTCATAGCTGAGAGTTGCTTAAATTAATGCGAGCGGTTTTCACTTGAAAAAACCATTTCTGATCTTAGCTTGAGCCCTGGTAAAACAGAAATATTATTGTTTGGAAAAAGATGCTCCAATTTGGAAATACAATATAATGTCAGTATACTAAAGGCCGGTTACTCAATGTTTAATTAACACTAACTGCGAGTTAAACATCGTTATCGATATGATCGACTCCATAACATGTATTTTTGCGAGCGCTAACTGAAAAATGAAGATAGGAGACTGAAATTTTGCCACAACTATTTTATTTTGGGACCGACAATGAAATTTACATATGGAACCGAAAGAAAAAAAAATAAGTAGGTTTATTTGACACAGCCTAGTATAAGTATACATTAGGGTGCATCACTCTCCATACAAAAAAAAAATCGGTACAGTTTTTCCATCCGAATTATGAAATTCATTATATTTTAAAACTTCTGCCAGTATATACTTCGCAAATATATTAAGTTTTACGTGAGCTAGACGGGTTTGAAAATACCTCAATATATCGATTTTTTTATGAATGAAGTTAGCTTTCAAAATAACTTTTTCCAAAAAATCATTTCAGATGATAAAAAAAATGTAGCCTATAGGGTTTGCATAACCATATTTAAAAAATTTATCGACAGAATCAAAATAATGAGTTTTTAGAGGTATTTTCTAATCGGCGCAGCTAACGTAAATCTAAATATTTTTTTTAGAAAAACCGCAATTTTTGGGCGAGGCACTCTAATGCACATATGTATATAGTACTGAAAACTAGCGTTATAAGAAAAAATAGGCTAGTCGACGAATGCAATATGGAGCTATAGCTGAACATTTTCATACACAAACAAGGAAGAGATGGTCAGATGTCCATATTTATGACATAATAAATACATACGTGAATTTTGACCTGACTATAGAAAAAAATAAGAACAGATCGGGTATTTACTTAGGACAAGAATAGAAGTGACCCTTGACAAAATATGCCGTAGCTGCTGCATGGATGGCAGGAGGAAGATCGACCCATCTCGGCAGCCGGTTACAAAACGCCCTTTCTCAGATAATGGTTCAAAAACGCCCTATCTCAGCTGCCGATATATTAAATTTATATTGAGACCAAATTCTGAAATAGGGCCTTCTTGTAAAATTTTCTGAGATAGGGCGTTTTCGAATTGGCTGCCGAGAAAGGTCGATCTTCCACACCGCCGTCGAAATAGTATTCATCATGAATGTGCGAATGCCTAAGTCTGACCCAGATAAGATATGCGGTTTTGAAAAATATGTACATAATTAAACGGCTAACGCACTTAGTTAGTGCCTCAATAAGCGACATGTAGAAATTTATAAGCGGCCCAAAATGGTTCGGCCAAACTGGACTCGAATGTTGACAGGTTGTCTATGGTAAAATGAAATAGCATTGCCTACAAGAAATTAAACAAAATGACGCTACCATGCATGCTCTGTTGATACCCGAATGGCAACACGGAAAGTACTTGCAGTAACCAACCAACTAACTTAGTATTTTATCTATAGCGGTACTTCGTTATTGATTAGTTGCACGCTACTGTATGTACATAAATGATATGATAGCAAAAACAAAGACACAATAAAATTAAATAAATTTAAATTATCATTTTAATGGTCAATAAAATAAAGTATTGTGTATTTCTTATCGTAGCAGAAGTCGCATGGAGGTATACGAGTGATAAAAAATAATAAAGCTAAATTACTGATAACATTTATGCCTTTACTATATAAAGTGTGAGCACAAAAAAAAATCTGCTATACGAGCCCTAACTTCGCGCGTGCATCGAAAAGTTGCACAGCTACCACAGAAAAATAAGTATATCTAGTGATAACTTCTGAATACATCATGAGTGAATGGGAGAAAAATAAGGAAATACAATTATTGCAGGAATACTTGCGTATTCCCAGTGTCCATCCGGATATTGATTACAGTACGTTTTTTTTTTTCATTTATATATTTTTATTCAGATATTTTTCGCAATAAATTGTGTGTTTAAATTAAATTAAAGCGTCATGCGTGGAATTCCTGAAGAAGCAATCAAAAGACCTAAATCTACCCTTAAAGGTTTATCATCCTGGCGGTCCTACAAAACCGATTGTGGTCATAACATGGTTGGGGCAGCAGCCGCAGCTACCATCGATAATGTTAAATTCACATATGGATGTAGTGCCGGTTTATCCAGAAAAATGGACACATCCACCTTTTGCTGCTGAGATCGATGAGGAAGGTCGCATATTTGCACGTGGTTCACAGGATATGAAATCTATTGGCATGCAATATTTGGCTGCTTTACGCGCGTTAAAAAAGAAGGGCGTGGTGGCGCTGAAACGCACAATTCATGTGACTTTCATGCCAGGTAAGACAAGTATTTTTTTAAGTTCAAAAGGTTACTCGGAACCAAACAAATTTGTTGAACTTTACTAAAGCTCTTATTTCCAATTGCGAGTCCACTGCAAAATCTTGGAAGAATGGTTTGGCAAGCCCGCGTTATTTTATTCAACTAAAAGCCGAGCAATCGAAAAAGTTATTATACATATTCTCTTCCGAAATTTCTTACAACTAGGATAATAATACGCTGTGTGTGTGTGTAGTAACCCATAGTCCTTATATAAAAGAAGTGTATTTTCTTTTCAAAGAGCAACGATGTGCATTTCCTGATACAGGCCAGGTAGGTAGTGCTGAAGATTTAACAGGACAAAGTGCTATTCCACCGTTCAAGGATCTGTTTAAGGGTGGCATTTTGCAATTATCCTCAATACCCCGTTGCCCATGCGCCCATATGAGTTAATTTATATAAAGCTCGACCATCTCATTCAGAGATCTATGGCAAGCGGGTGCACCACTCTCTCAATAAGGGGCAGTGCATTATCTATGTATAAGGGCCGGTTACTCAATGTTTGATTAACGCTAATCTCCGGATAAACATAGTTATCCACGTTAACGACTCCCTGGGCCTTATGCATCAAAAGTGAGATGGAGAAAATGGCCCTAAGCGATTTTAGCTGAGTGAAACAAAGCACTGCAGCACTCTCTCTGCCATGCTAAGTGAATCCACGTCCTTCGTTCCATCTCAGAAGAGGCCCTTATCAGAACTCAATAAAATGAGGAAACCAATGGCTGTTTACAATTTTGTTGCTCAAAGCCTGGTTTGCACTAATCCCCGGCTAAACATTGTTATCGACGTTACCGACATGGAGTCGAAAACGTCGATAACGATGTTAACTGATAATTAGTGTCAACCAGGCTTTGAGCAACCGGCCCTTAATGTCTTTATCCGCAGGGAGGCCCTTAAAGCTCAGTTATGCCTACTTTAAATTCAACTGCATAGATAAACATTGTTCGTGAAACATTGGCGCGATTATGCTTCACACAGCTCATACATATGTATGTATCATCCAACTACAACTACACACATTTGGCCGTTCCTATTTCTGCCTCTCGTTGTTCAATCGAATGCACTTTTATGTAGAAATCATAAATCAAATGACTTAACCGATTACACTCAAAGCTCATTTAACCGATTTCTTATGTGCCAGAGGGCTCAGACCAGATATTCCTTGGCCAGCAATGAGTTATAAGATTCCCGCCCGCAGCTATCCTCTTCTTAGATCATATTCGATCTTTGAAATCGAATCAAAAGTAGTCATTCAAAAACTCATAAATCTACAAAATGGTGTTTTCTGACTCAAATCGGCAGGTCGCGACCTCTAAATTACTTTTAAAAGATCTATAAAATTATGCAATATCTCTCATAAAAAGGGTCTTGAAATTTCCAAAAGAAAAAACATTTTCAATGGGCACCCTTGTATGTATGTATGTAATCTGAGTACTGTTTTCTGCATGCATTTTTTGCATGTTTTGTGTTATTTCCGATTGATATATGTATGCAGGTATATGCACTGCAGTCGTTCGGAGAGCCGAAAAGATATATTTACCCCCTGACCTCATAGCAGTAAACCTCTCATCGACTATACCTTCGTGTTTAGCGCGATCTGTATAAAAGTTTATGGCGTTAGGAATATGCTGGGGTCTGCTCTACAAATCCTGTACAATTGGTATCACATGTTTTTAATTGTTTTCGAAAGTGAGCGACGGTAATATATAATACTCGTAGTTGGTACTCGGTATGGCTATCGAAATTGTCTCCGCCGTGCCTAAGATAGCCGAATGGACTGATTGTATTGCTTCAAACTATGCGCCGACTTCATTAAGCTAACAATAAGAATTTATTGCTTTAATATCCATATTCTATAAACACAGATGAGGAAATTAGCGGCGTGCTTGGAATGAAAAGTTTCGTAACAACAGATGATTTTCGAAATTTGAATGTAGGCCTTTGCTTAGATGAAGGCGTGGCAAATACAAATGATGAATATACTGCCTACTATGCCGAAAAGACTATTTGGTGTAAGCGAAAGCAGAAAACTTAAAGCGAACACAATCGTATAAATATGTATAAACTTCATCATTTTCCCCCAGACGTTCAATTCATTATACATGGACCTGCTGGACATGGATCGCTGCTGCACAAAAACACTGCGGGTGAAAAATTGGAATATATTCTCAATAAAATGATGGACTTAAGGCGGCAGGCAGAACAGAAATTAAAAAGTAATCCCGCTTGCAGTTTCGGTGATGTGAATACCTTAAACTTGACTGTAGTAAAGGGTGGCGTTCAGTCGAATGTGGTCNCAAACTATGCGCCGACTTCATTAAGCTAACAATAAGAATTTATTGCTTTAATATCCATATTCTATAAACACAGATGAGGAAATTAGCGGCGTGCTTGGAATGAAAAGTTTCGTAACAACAGATGATTTTCGAAATTTGAATGTAGGCCTTTGCTTAGATGAAGGCGTGGCAAATACAAATGATGAATATACTGCCTACTATGCCGAAAAGACTATTTGGTGTAAGCGAAAGCAGAAAACTTAAAGCGAACACAATCGTATAAATATGTATAAACTTCATCATTTTCCCCCAGACGTTCAATTCATTATACATGGACCTGCTGGACATGGATCGCTGCTGCACAAAAACACTGCGGGTGAAAAATTGGAATATATTCTCAATAAAATGATGGACTTAAGGCGGCAGGCAGAACATAAATTAAAAAGTAATCCCGCTTGCAGTCTCGGTGATGTGAATACCTTAAACTTGACTGTAGTAAAGGGTGGCGTTCAGTCGAATGTGGTGCCACCAGTAATTGAAGCCACTTTTGACTTACGTTTAGGTATCAACGCAGATCTTGAAGGTTTGGAAAAACAGGCAAGTGATGTTATGTGACTAGAAAATACATTGTATGTATGTATATTTAATGCTTTATTTTATCTAAATATCATTATATTTTACAGCTTCGCACTTGGTGCGAAGAGGCAGGAGGCGATATAGATATTAATTTTAAGACGAAGGACAAGAAGATTGCGACAACTTTTGACATAAGCGACACAAATCCATTTTGGGTTGGATTCAAAACAACAATGGAAAAACTGTATGAATTAAGTTTGCTAAGTCATTTTTATTAGTCGAGCTCAAAGCGTGAAGCATATAATTTCTTTTCTTTTCAGAGGCTTGAAGCTTCGCCACGCAGTGCTACCGGGTGTCACAGACGTTCGCTATTTGCGTGAATTGGGCATTCCCGCTTTGAATTTCTCACCAATGGCAAATACACCAATTCTACTTCACGATCATGACGAGTTCCTGAAGGTAGAAACTTATTTGAAAGGCATTGAAATATACGAAAATTTATTGGCAACCATTGCAAATGTTTAAAAATAGGGCTACAAATTATAATGTATTCTCCTTACAAACAACTTGGTATACATATTTGTAAATTACCCAAAAATTTAATTTTTTTTAAACAATTTAACGGGATCACCTACAATTTATTTTAAGACATTTATTAAAACTTATCTAAATATGATGTTATCTAATGAATATTGGGGGACATGGTTGTGTGCACATTAAACACATCCTTTAGTTATAACAAACAAAGTCATTATAATTTTAAAATAAAGTTTACATACAAATTTAATTACTTGAGTTGGTAATTTCTCCAATTTCATAGACCTTTTCATTGCCTCACTCGCATAATATTCGCAATTCGCTCCTCCTGCCACAGCATGATTCTGTTAGAATTTTTTTCTAAATCAATTGTTAAGCTAAACAATAAATTAAATAACCGACCTGTACACAAATCCTCTTCTTCCGGCAATTCCCTTGTAAGTGTTTTCTTAGACGTGCTTGCCTGGGAGCCCAGCACTAGTTGTTTTATTAAATTCACAGGAAACGGAAATATGATATTCTTATTTTGATCACCGGAAATAAGACTTAAAGTTTGCAAATAACGCAGCTGCATAAGACAGTTTAAAGATAAGCAACATAAGCACTTAAGATAAGATTTAACTGTGCAAAGTATGCATGTACCTGAAGCGCTACTGGATTCGAAGCTATAACATCGGCAGCTGCTTTTAGAGCTTTGGAAGCGCTAAGTTCACCATCAGCGGAAACTACTTTTGCTTTCGCCTCTCGTATTGCCTCAGCTTCAGCAGCCATAGCTCGCTGCAAGTTTAATGGCAAGCGTACATCCTTACTGGAAGTGTAATTCAGTTGATTTTAATAACTTCTCTCAAAAGTGTTGGGTTTCTAAAATTTTGAAAATGACTACATTTGTGCTAGCAAGAATTTAGCAATCCTAAAACGTGAAAAGCGATATTTTTACGGCGTTAAAATTAAAGATGTGGTTAAAAAAAAGTTTTCTTACTACTTTTTCCTACGCAAATATAATTTTTCCCTACAAGATATGGAAATGAACACCCCTATTATGATCCACAACTTTGAAGATAGTTGAGTTGTAAGTTGTAAATTGGTATTGTGGGACACAACTCAACTCAACTTTGAACAAGTCAGTTGTTTTGCACCAGCATTTTCGGGCTCATCGGTAAAACATAATTGGTAACTGGTTTCAGAATTATTTTAATATAATTCAAATAACATAATCTTAATAAAATATAAAAATTTGTATCGAATTGCCGACTTTTTCAATGACTACAGTCAACTGAGGACCAGACACCCAGAATAATAATTATTTCATGGTGGAGTTGTAAAAAAGGCATCCAAATTTTCGTAAGAATTATAAAAGTCTTTTGATAATAATTTTGAGTGCGAACAAATTTTCTATATAGTCCCGAACGAGTTCCAAACCAAGCCCCAATTTGTCCCAAACTAGTCCCGAACTGGTCCCCACCTAGCCCCGAACTGGCCACCAACTAATCTTGAAATGCTCTTGAACAAGTCCCGCCTTTTAATACTTTTTTTTGCGCTCATAATTATTATGAAAAGACTTATTATAATACATGTAAGTTTTAAAATGAAAGTCTTTGAAGACTTAAAAATATGTATCTCAATAATAATTATTATGAAAAAATTTTTATAATATAAGTCTTAAAATAAAAGCCCTTGGAGACTTAAAAATATGTATCTCCTTGAATAATAGTTATAGACGACTCGAAAAATATTTATCTTTTAATAATGATCATTGATTGACTTTTATATTTTCTCTTATAATAGTTATGTCTCTGCTGAAAACAGTTGTGAATGGTAATAGCAATAAATAATTGAGTTGTCTCAGACACAACTCAACTAAGTTGATGTGTGAACCATATAGGGGCCATAATTGTAAAAGTTTTATTTTTCTCTAACGCGCTGCATTTAAAAAAAAAATTTACATTTGCAATCCGGAGTTGCGATAGGTCGTTCATACAACTTTTTTCGAAAGTTTGCCATTCCGCCAAAAATGCCACTTTCCGACGTTTTATGAATCGCACTAATATAACCGCGTAAATTGTACCTCGCTGTGGAAAAATGTAGATGAATAAAAACGCAGACAAAGTACATATTTTAAGTCTTGCTGTTCAGTGGGTGAATTCAAGCACAGATGAAGATTTAACTTGCTAACATTCGTTAGGTCAGGTTAGGTTAGGTTATCCTGGCTGCCCACATTCCGTACAGGAAAAGAGCACACTTAGGCCGCCATGGGCCCATTGTGATGCCATATTAGAGACTCCTAGCGTCCCTCCTCCTCCCTCCTCAGAAATAGCGCACAAATCGTAGATACTGGCCGAGACGGTCAGCCAGATACTCAATGGAATAGCGGAGGAGCGAGCGTCGACGAGCCCTTGCCAAAGCGGGAGAGTGGCATGGGTAACGCTCCACGATTTCCTCCTCATCGCGGCACCTACGACAGTAATCGTTTATATGACAGCAGAAAATTTTGTAAAAAAATAGACAAATTCAGAATTTTGAAATTCCCTACCTTTAAGTTAATATAATAAGTCTGTCCTTTTTTCCCTATATCGCAAATTTAAGGCTGAATTTCTCAACATTAAGCCTCTTTTCCTTATTATTGGCATCACTGGATAGGGGGAAATGTACCAGCAGCTAGTTTTGTTAATTAAAGCTCGGCTTGAAGAGCTAAGCAACTGATTGTCGGTAGTCTCCATGCGAACAAGTGGAGGTGACATTATTTAAGGATATTCCAAAATAAAGAATTAACCATGCTCTCTCGTCTTCTCAATCCTTGCCAAGCTGATAACATTTTTCCTTGTTTCTCTACACATTTATGCATGTACATACATACTCACATCTCAACACGCTCCACATACACTCCCCAAGGTGATGTAGCGCTTTTCAAGATCGCTGCCATAGCCATCGAAACCGCATCTTTTTCGGACATCAGTTCCAAAACATGCTTTTGGCCTGCTATATTACGTAGTGTCGCCTGTGCCAGCATTCTAGTAGCGAAATGAACATTTTCCACTTGTATAACCGCCAGCAATGGATCAAAAATTCTATAATAAACAGCAGCGTCAAGGCTGATGGTCACGTGATCTTTTGTCAGAATTTCCTGCGCTGGTACATCATATGATATCGTTCGCAAATCAACTCTCACACAATAATCGACACATGGAATTCGAAATACAAGACCCGGGCCGCGTGCTCCGCCACATCTACAACGATGGCATAGATATATAC